ACAAAAAAAAAACATAGCCAGCTCCGCCTACCAGCTGCCGACTCACCACGAACCACACACATATTCCTGTTCTGCTCCCGTAAGTAATACGATCATAGCAGTCCAACCACAAGGAAACAGAAAAGGGTAAGCAAGTATAGAAGGAACAAAGTATCTGAAAGCAGTCTTCGGTATGTCACCTTCCTTCACCCTGATCTGGTGATAACCCGACCTCAAATCAATTTTTGAGAAAATGGATGCTCCCTTAAGTTGATCCATTAAGTCATCTATCCGTGGCAGTGGATATTTGTTCTTAATGGTCAACTTATTCAACTGCCAAAAATCTACACAAAGTCGACTACCTCCATCCTTCTTCTTCACCAACAACACAGGAGCTCCCCACGGCGAAACGTTTGGTCGCACCAACTGCTTCTCCAATAGGTCCTCCAACTGACCCTTCAACTCAACCAACTCAGCAGGAGCCATCCTATAGGGAGCCACCGACATTGGCCCCGCTCCTGGGACCAAGTCAATGCTAAACTCCATCTCCCTAATAGGAGGCAACCCAGACACTTCATCCGGGAACACCTCAACAAAGTCTCGTACTACATCAATCTCCGCAATAACTCTTTCAGTTTCCACACTCATAGCAGCAAGCAGAAGACAACACCCTGCTCCACCCCTCAATAATGATTCAGTTTGGCTAGTTGAAATCAACAACTCATCCTCCTCTTGAGGAAAGATCAACCGCCTATTGGCACAATCTATAAGGACACGATTGGCAGATAACCAATCCATCCCTAAGATTATGTCAATATCAACTAAAGGCAAACAAATCAAGTTTACCTTATACCTCTTCCCATTCACATCTATAGGACAACCAACACACAACTCAGAAGCAACTACTGAAGCAGACGCGGGCGTCGACACTCGCAGTCTCAACCCCAAATCACATACGGGTACACCCAACATGGCAACACAAGCATAAGAGATAAAGGAGTGAGAAGCTCCAGAATCAAACAAAAACACTACATCCTTACCAACAGCTCTACCCTTTCCCTTCACAAGGTCAGAAGAAGTCGAAGCCTCAGCACCTGTCAACGTAAAGACCCTACCAACAGTAGTGGGTCTGTCACCCCTCTGAGCATCTCCTCTCTAAGCATCACTCCTCCGAGTATTCCTCTCCGGTCTGTTTCCGGTGGGGCAGTTGAAAGATACATGGCCCATCTGTTGGCATCTAAAACACCGATTCTCGGTGTGGGGGCAATCCCTAATCATATGGGACCCTCCACACCTGTAACATCTCAGGGTAGCACCTCCACCCTGGCCTCCACCACCAGCAGTACCAGAAGGTTGCCTGATGACAGGACCCCCTTGATGTAGTTGGGGCCTATCATATGGCTTCCTCTGGCTCCCTCCTTTCTTGGACCCGGATGGCCCCTCAACAGTCTTCACCCCACGGCTACCACCTTCCAACCGCTCAATCACCTTCGCCTTCTCCACCAAGGCTGGAAATTCAGTGATGGCCATAGGCACCACCACCCTCTTCAGATCATATTTCAATCCCTCAGCAAACTTCTGACACTTCCAAGCCTCGGCGATGCCTTGCGAATAAAAACGAGCTAGGTGCTTGAATTTCATCGCATATTCAGAAACGGTCATCCTTCCTTGGTGTAAGCGCATGAACTTAGCTTCCTTGGCATGTCTTACACTCTCAGGGAAGTACTTCTCCAAGAACATCCGCCTGAAGCAATCCCAGTCCACAACCACCCCTCTGGCAGTCAGCATATAATGGGTACCTCTCCACCAGTGCTCGGCTTCTCCAATAAGCATGTACACCGCGTATGCTAGCCTCCTCTCTTGAGAACATCCCAGCACGGTGAAGATCTTCTCAAGTTCACAAATCCAGTGGTCAGCTACCTCTGGATTTGCCTCTCCCTTGAACTGCGGAGGATGGCACTTCTGGAACTCAGCCAGGTCCCGGCTCTCCTGCGACCCAATGGGTCTTGCTGCACCAGCTGCAGCTCTCTCCGCCTCCATCCTAGCAAAATAGGCATTTTGCTGTTGCATAGCCATGACCATCATCTCCATGGCCCGGGCTATCTGTTCGTTGGCTCTAGACATTGTCTACAAAAGCAACAACACTTTTAGTATACAATATCTAAACCAAACAACACTCAACAGCACAACAAAACATCACAACAATCAACACAACAAACAACTCAACAAAACAGCACAACGCAGAGTTCAGCACAACAAAAGCCTAAAGGAACCACCCCCAAAGAGTGTCAACTAGACTCGACTCGCTCTGATACCACTAAAGTGTAACGACCCGCCAGGTCCTACACAAACCAATGTACACCGGAAACACTAGGCAGAAAGAACGAGTATATAAGTATAGGTTCTAGAATATAAATATATACAAAGTCCTACTCCGACTAGGGTTGGAGTGCCAAAACAAAATACAACGCTAACCGCCACACCTAGTGGCTACTATTGCAAAACAACAAAAAAAAACATAGCCAGCTCCGCCTACCAGCTGCCGACTCACCACGAACCACACACATATTCCTGTTCTGCTCCCGTAAGTAATACGATCATAGCAGTCCAACCACAAGGAAACAGAAAAGGGTAAGCAAGTATAGAAGGAACAAAGTATAGAAAAATTCGAGCAATTTGAACAACTTCAACCGTCAACACAACAACATTCTACTTTCCATCAATTTATACAACAAATCAGCAATTAGATATTAATGCGTCATCACGCGTATCACCTCAGAGATCTCCTACAACAACTCAGCCGTTTTGGCCTACAACAACTCAGCCCTTTAGGCCTACAGCAACTCAGCCCTTTAGGCCTACAGCAACTCAGCCCTTAAAGCCTACAGCAACTCAGTCGATACACAACATTGCACAACTATACAACTCAACACATCAACTTGCAACACAACACAACTACACCACTTAACATCAACTTGCAACACAACACAGCTTTACTACTTATCACAAATCAGTCAACATTATCTACTAATTATCACATATAATCATCCACTTCAACTCAACTCAACATAGATCAGCATAATACAATACAATTAATATCTCATCTCCATGCCCGGGGCCCTCGTAGTCGCGGTCAGCGCAGTACAGCCAGAGAGCCCTAGGGGGCCAGCGCGCCCAGCGCAAGCATGCTCGCGCTCAGCGGGACTTAGCCAGAGAGCACAAGGCTCTCCTGCGCTTGGCGCACTACCCAATGCACCCAGCACAGGCCAGGCAGAGACTCCCACAAGGTCAGAAGAAGTCGAAGCCTCAGCACCTGTCAACGTAAAGACCCTACCAACAGTAGTGGGTCTGTCACCCCTCTGAGCATCTCCTCTCTAAGCATCACTCCTCCGAGTATTCCTCTCCGGTCTGTTTCCGGTGGGGCAGTTGAAAGATACATGGCCCATCTGTTGGCATCTAAAACACCGATTCTCGGTGTGGGGGCAATCCCTAATCATATGGGACCCTCCACACCTGTAACATCTCAGGGTAGCACCTCCACCCTGGCCTCCACCACCAGCAGTACCAGAAGGTTGCCTGATGACAGGACCCCCTTGATGTAGTTGGGGCCTATCATATGGCTTCCTCTGGCTCCCTCCTTTCTTGGACCCGGATGGCCCCTCAACAGTCTTCCCCCCACGGCTACCACCTCCCAACCGCTCAATCGCCTCCGCCTTCTCCACCAAGGCTGGAAATTCAGTGATGGCCATAGGCACCACCACCCTCTCCAGATCATATTCCAATCCCCCAGCAAACTTCTGACACTTCCAAGCCTCGGCGATGCCTTGCGAATAAAAACGAGCTAGGTGCTTGAATTTCATCGCATATTCAGAAACGGTCATCCTTCCTTGGTGTAAGCGCATGAACTTAGCTTCCTTGGCATGTCTTACACTCTCAGGGAAGTACTTCTCCAAGAACATCCGCCTGAAGCAATCCCAGTCCACAACCACCCCTCTGGCAGTCAGCATATAATGGGTACCTCTCCACCAGTGCTCGGCTTCTCCAATAAGCATGTACACCGCGTATGCTAGCCTCCTCTCTTGAGAACATCCCAGCACGGTGAAGATCTTCTCAAGTTCACAAATCCAGTGGTCAGCTACCTCTGGATTTGCCTCTCCCTTGAACTGCGGAGGATGGCACTTCTGGAACTCAGCCAGGTCCCGGCTCTCCTGCGACCCAATGGGTCTTGCTGCACCAGCTGCAGCTCTCTCCGCCTCCATCCTAGCAAAATAGGCATTTTGCTGTTGCATAGCCATGACCATCATCTCCATGGCCCGGGCTATCTGTTCGTTGGCTCTAGACATTGTCTACAAAAGCAACAACACTTTTAGTATACAATATCTAAACCAAACAACACTCAACAGCACAACAAAACATCACAACAATCAACACAACAAACAACTCAACAAAACAGCACAACGCAGAGTTCAGCACAACAAAAGCCTAAAGGAACCACCCCCAAAGAGTGTCAACTAGACTCGACTCGCTCTGATACCACTAAAGTGTAACGACCCGCCAGGTCCTACACAAACCAATGTACACCGGAAACACTAGGCAGAAAGAACGAGTATATAAGTATAGGTTCTAGAATATAAATATATACAAAGTCCTACTCCGACTAGGGTTGGAGTGCCAAAACAAAATACAACGCTAACCGCCACACCTAGTGGCTAATATTTCAAAACAACAAAAAAAAACATAGCCAGCTCCGCCTACCAGCTGCCGACTCACCACGAACCACACACATATTCCTGTTCTGCTCCCGTAAGTAATACGATCATAGCAGTCCAACCACAAGGAAACAGAAAAGGGTAAGCAAGTATAGAAGGAACAAAGTATAGAAAAATTCGAGCAATTTGAACAACTTCAACCGTCAACACAACAACATTCTACTTTCCATCAATTTATACAACAAATCAGCAATTAGATATTAATGCGTCATCACGCGTATCACCTCAGAGATCTCCTACAACAACTCAGCCGTTTTGGCCTACAACAACTCAGCCCTTTAGGCCTACAGCAACTCAGCCCTTTAGGCCTACAGCAACTCAGCCCTTAAAGCCTACAGCAACTCAGTCGATACACAACATTGCACAACTATACAACTCAACACATCAACTTGCAACACAACACAACTACACCACTTAACATCAACTTGCAACACAACACAGCTTTACTACTTATCACAAATCAGTCAACATTATCTACTAATTATCACATATAATCATCCACTTCAACTCAACTCAACATAGATCAGCATAATACAATACAATTAATATCTCATCTCCATGCCCGGGGCCCTCGTAGTCGCGGTCAGCGCAGTACAGCCAGAGAGCCCTAGGGGGCCAGCGCGCCCAGCGCAAGCATGCTCGCGCTCAGCGGGACTTAGCCAGAGAGCACAAGGCTCTCCTGCGCTTGGCGCACTACCCAATGCACCCAGCACAGGCCAGGCAGAGACTCCAAGGAGTCTCCCGTGCCCGGCGTACCTAACCCAGCGCTCAGCGCGGGGAAGGCAGGGGCCACCCCTTGGTCTCGCGCCCAGCGCAATTCAAATTGCGCCCAGCGCCCACAAGGTAGAGACTCCCAAGGAGTCTCATGCCCAGCGCGGTAAGGGCCACGCTCAGCGCAGCCTCAAGAGTCAAAAATCAAGGTACAATTGATATCGCGCCTAGCGCGGTCCAAATCGCGCCTAGCGAGGGCCAACCAGAGACCTACATCTCAAGCGCGCCTAGCGCACTCATCAAGGCGCTCAGCG